CAGAGGGAGGTTGCTGAGCTCGATTTTGATTATCAAGGCATGATACTCGCTAGGAAGCCTCTTCTGTACAATGCAGATACCCAGTGTTGGGGAAGATTAGAAAATGGCAGGATTAAGCAGTAGATCAGGAGAGAATTATTAGTAACGTGTATTTACTTGAGTTCAGCTTCAGCAGGGCTTCTCCAGCTGAACTCTAATTTCCCTTCTCTAATTTCAGCCATTTACAGATATTACATTCATTGCCTCATATGTTTGCACATACCTTAATAAAAAAGCATGTTCCCTTGGAAAGCAGTGTATAGTCATGTAAAAATAAAGAGTTAAAAAAGCATTCCTGTTTTCAAATTAACACTGAGGCGCTGAGTTCATGGTGGTCTTTGTGATTTGAATGTTGCCTTTTTTATATCTCTCCCGTGCCCTGAATAAGATGTAGGTCCTGAGGAAAAGCTAGTACATGGTTATGCATTTGAAGACCCAGTGCATGCAAGGAGCGTTTCTGAACTTTATGAGCCCTTTGCAAGGGGGAGAAAAGGCTAATTCTAATCCTAAAAAAAAAAAACCAAGGAAAAAAAACCCACATAAATTTGTTTTGTGTATCTTTTTGCCACTATATAACTTACGATCATTTAATTGGATCGAGGATGAATTTTTAAATGGCTAAAAGCATGATAGAAATGGTACATGACACGATGCAAAAACTAACGTGGGGGGAAAAAAAAATCAGTGAAGTGAATCTTTCTGCGTGTGTTTACAGCCTCTCCAATGTGTGTAATATTTTCTGCTTCGTATTCCTCTGTATACACCACTGCTGCGTTCCTTGTCTTCAGTAATAATCTCAGTTACTCTTCCGTTGCTGTCCCCGGTATTCTCTGTTAAGGAAGCTTCATGGGTGGAGAGAATGTCTCTCCTAAATTGTCATGCAGATCTGACGAAGCAGGAACATTTCAGAAATATAGCAAATGTGTACTGCTAATTCCTTGAGTGTTTTGGGCTTGATTTCTTAATTCTAATTATTTTTTTTGAATTAATCTTGCAACGATTTCTTCTGGCATCACTTCTGCTGCTACGAAGCTCTTGGATGGGGCGCGGAACGGTTATTTTCTGTAGCATTAGCACGTAACAGGCTGGACGGAGGCTGGTGGAAGAGTGCCAGCGTTGTTTTTCTGTTTGCAGGCTGGCCTGGCCGTTTCTGTGTATGTAAGAAGAGGGCAGGCAGGGTATCAGTCAGCTTTCAGATCTTTAAATTTCCTGATGGATGAGGCAAGTGACAGAATATCTTCCTACTGCAGATCTTTCTTTTTGTAAACTGTAAGTCTTGGCAGTATTAGTAGACAGTCTTTTTGAACGCCTCAGCAAGCTTCAGTTCCATGGCGTTACATGACAAACGTGCTTAAGGGCTCTTTACGTGCTCGAAATAAATGTTGGCTTTCTGGGGAGTTTGACTCTTTTTAATTTATTTTTTTTTATTTATTTCCCCCACAGGATCCCTTAGATCCGACAAGAACCGCCATTGTGATCAGCTCTTTGGTGGCAGGTGGAGTAGCAGAACGTGGGGGCGAGCTTTTACCTGGCGACCGCTTGGTGTTTGTAAATGAGAAATATTTGCACAGTGCCACTTTAGCAGAGGCGGTGGACGTGTTGAAATCTGTGCCCCCGGGTACAGTTTCTCTTGGAATCTGCAAGCCTTTGGTGGTAAGGACAGATTTTAACTTTTTTTTCTATTTGATTCTGGGTTGTTGTATTGAGGAGGTGGGAGGAAATTCAGAGTTAGAAAGTGTATGCAGTGGAAAGCATCTAAGTTGCTGTGTGTACACGCAACATGTTCAGAAATTCTGGCTAGCTGGCAAATGGGCAGCTCATTGTCCAAAAGGCCTCACTGAAAAACCATCATTCTCAAGCTCCTCCTGAAAGAACATCCGTGTGGAATCTGAAGATGTGTCTGGGCAAACCTGTGTGCAGTGGCCCTGTGTGCAGATGTGGTTTGAGCCACTCAGCAAATGAGTGAAGTATGTGCTGAAGTCCGTTTCGCTCTAAGACACTGCTAAGGGCTTCCTTGAGCTCCACTGACATCAAAGAGACTTAATATGTTTGAAGTCAAGACTGTAAATTCAAGTAGAAATTCTTTTCTCTAGAATAAGGGCTTTGGAACAGACAGTAGTTTACTTGAGAACACTGCAGTATTGTTCATCAAGGGCACCCAGGCAAAATTAATTAAAGCAAAGCAGCATCTAATAGAAAGTGCTTGTAATTCAAAGTGGTAGAGGACTAGTGAACTAGGAACATAACAAGGCTGTTAAATATATTCTTTCCTTTTTTAAAAAAGTGATGTATCATTTCTCATATCATTGTATTCGTCTTTCTTTCCTACATGCTTTCTTTTTTTACTACACATGTGTTAATATCTTAAAAGAATAAAAGCAGTTTTCTCTGTCTTCTGCATTTATGACTTCCCTTTTTTATAGCTGTAACTTTTCCCATCTCTTTTGTAGTGGCTGCTTCTCACTCTCCCTTTTAGCTTATTGAAAAATGTGGGAATTTTTTGTTTGTTTTCCTGACTCATCATTCTGATTGCCTTCCTTAGGGAGGAAACAGAGAACAGCAGAACATGCACGATGTGGATTCCAGCAGCATTAAAACCAGCCCTGGATCTCCAGAACCAATAGATAATATTAATTTCTCAGTAATACTTGAAGCACCACAGGTATTTGGTTACTCTTTTGGTTCAGCTTGAATTTATGTCGACTGGAAATGATGTTTTAGAGTAAAAAAAAAATAGTATGTACTTCAGGTAAGACTTAATTATCACATAGACTTCAGGCTGGATTCCCTTTGAAAAAGACTCTTAGCAGCTAACCGAATGCTAATTGTATTCTGAAGAGTAAACATGTGCATAGCACTTACCAATGCAGTTCCCAAACTGCCTTATCAAATTTATTATGTCATTAAAATGCCTTGCAAGACCTTGGATATGAAATAGGAATGCTACGTTGTTAGTAGTCGTAAGTACTGGGTTCAGCTTTGCAAAGAAAGTAAGGTATGGAAGCAGAACACTCTTATTATAATGAAGCAAAACTTCATTATACTTCTTCCTCAATTCTCCTCTACTGTATTTTGAGAAATAATTTTCAAAGTAAGAGGCACTAAAGATAGTGAGAAACTTAGATACCGGGGTAATAAGCAATAACATTAAAATACTGACCTGTGTAGAGTAAGAGATGTGGATATTTTTGAATTTTCATCCATTCTCAAGTGTTTTGCAAAATTTTTATTAGTTCACAATGGAAAATGCGTTCTTTTTAGGCTGGAAAATGATAGAAAGGACCATCCAGAGTAATAAAAATAAGCTCTAGGTTTTCTTGTTGCTAAACATGTCCACTTACCCCGGATACAAACGTATTTTTAATACCTAACGTATATCAGAACCACCATAAGGAGCAGTATTATGGGATAGGTGTAGGTATGCTACATAGAAATTAGCTTGGACATGATATTTACTGATTTTCATGATGTAAAATGGACATTGTTTTTTTCAGGGTGCATAGAAAGGATTCCTGGCAGAGCAGTTAGTCAACTACCAGCTCAGATTGTTTCTCTGTTTCTTAAATAAATCTCGTGCTATTAAGTATGAAGTCTTTTATCTCAAAAATCCCACTGAATAGAGAAATGATCAATTTGCACAAAAAGAGGCATTTGCTTGTATTTTGTTTTACCTTATGTATGACAGCATCGATAGTAGCTTAGAGCAGTAGCGTAAAATTTCCACCCATTTATTATCTCGGTGTCACGACCGCTGACGCTTTTAGGCACTAGCGTAGAGCTGACAAAGCTGACTTTGGGGAAAAAAGAGAAAAAGGAACTCAGAGATTTTATATGCTACAGCAGTCGACTTGCCTGTCACGTTTGCAGTATTGCCTGTTCCATCGGTAGCGTGTGGTGCTGCAGTGCAGCAGCCTGGGGTTGTACGGACCCAAGTGCTGTGTCAGGAGACGGCAACACCAAGTGCCGTGTGGTTCCGAGTCGTTTTGCGCGACATTGAAGTTGGTGCCTCGTATGGAAGCACTTGGAGAGTGACACCACAGAAGGGAAGTGAAAGAAAGATGAGAATTAGAGTCTCTTCAGACCAGGGTTTTTTTTGGAGAGTGAGGTACACAGAGATTAAACACTCGTGTAAAATGTGCTGATCTCTAGGTTGCTAATGTTCTGTGTTTGCGCCAGCTGGTTTTATTGCATTGTTCCCTTATACTCTTGCCTGCATCTTGTTTGCTCTCCTGCCTCTCGCTTGAACTGTGTGAACGGTTTGGCAGTGTCCGGGCATTTGTGCAAACCCAACAGAACGGAATTCCAACACTAAAGGTCAGAAGCGCTGAAGTACCTTGGGGGGTCTGGGAAGGGGCAGGAAGCCCTCTTAGGCTCTTTTCTATTTAGCTGATGGTATTGTAAGAGATGTACATGCATTCACACAGCAACAGCAACTAGTTCTGGAGCATAGGGATACTTTAGCTGGATGTATATATATTTTTTTCCTGTAGGTTTTTTTGTGCTATTTAATAATTCTCATTCCCAAACTTCAGTCCAGATTGGTTGTTCTGAATGGCTGCAGCAATATGCAAGCTATGCAACTTAAATTTCTTGATATTTAGAAAAATATAATGGCAATGTCTACTTTAGTGTTAAAATCGTAAGTCAGAGAGTGTATTTTCTTTCAGAAAATGCAAAAGTAGAAGGTTTTCACTTCACATCATTCAGGAAGTACTTTTAATATGGACCTAACGTAAACCATGGAACATAATGGAAAAATTATATTCCTGTATTGTTTTATGCAGGGTTTCAGGGATGAAACACCTTTTAAGGAAGAATTTGTTGATGAACCCAGTTTGGACTTGGCAAGGTCATTTCAGCTTTCTCGAAATGACAGTGAGTACGAGAAGGAGTCCTGGGAGATGCATGAATTTCTGAAACCCAGAACGGAAGAAATGGATGAGGAACGGGAAATGTTGGTGGATGATGAGTACGAAGAAGATTTGGACTTCCTGAAATATAATGCATCGTGTGGACAGAAGGCAGCTTCAGAGGGCAGCCTTGATCTAGAACGATGGACAAAACAACTGGAGACGACTGAAATGCAAGACTTGAGATCCAGTGTTAACTTAAGTCCAAAACAGTCCCTGGAATACCCATTCAATAAAGACCAAATGGTGAGAAGTGCTGCGTTGCTCTCAGTGCTGTACCCTGACCATGTCAAAGCAAATTCCAGACCTAAACTGTCTAAGGAATCTTTCTCACATTTTAATTGCTAGATGAGACCCACATACCTCTAACAGACCTCACTCTATCCTTTTGTACCTTTTGGGAAGTTCTTTTGCTTGCTTAGAGTCTGTGTATTTAACTGCTCTGATGAGATAGGTGCTGTGACCGAGGTATTTACAGGGACCCTGTACTTGCCTCTTTCTTTCCAGTCACTGACTTGAGGGCTTAGTTCTTTTTTTGTGAGCTGTGCTAGTAGGGCCTGTGTCAGTAACAGCAGAGTCCAGGGGCTTTGGCAGCAATGTCAGTGAAAGGAGTTCCTTCTCTTCCTCATTAATTTTATTTCAAATCACTTCCTTGAGCCAGCTGATAGTGCAGCTGAGCAAAGAAATATATGGAGGAAGCAATCGGAACAAGCGTGGATGGAGGAGTAGAGGGAGACAGAGCTTCAGGTAAATTGTGAAACACTTGTATTTATACATCTTCTGCAAGTATTTTGAGAATTATTTTTTTTCCTGAGTCTTTGTTCATTCATTTACCTAACAAAAAAAAGTGATAATAGCAGCCTGCCATGCACCAGCTTCCCAAGTGAAAAAAATGAAATGGAAGAGGACTTGATAGCACAGTCACAGAGAATTTCAGGTTTGGTTTGGCTTGTCTCCTACGCACCCTGTACCTAAACAGGCTGAAATGCAGCTTCCAGAGAAAGTCTCATGCCACAGTGCACAAATTAAATTTGTACATGTGTTGCTTATCTGTTTGTTGGGTTTTTTTTTTTGAAGAGAACTTCTTGTCTAGATTACAGGCAAGTAGAAAGATACAGTTGCCTTTTATTGCAATTGCACATAACATTTTTCATGCCTCTTCTTAATAGAGTGCTTAAATGAGCAGTTGGTATTTCATAGTTATCTGAATAAATATGAATATGGTTAAGAAAATGTGAATGTTCGCTATAAAAATCAATGTTCACATCAAATACAGCTGTATAAGTTGATACCGTTGCTTTCTAACTTTAATTACTTTTTTTTCTCCTCTGTTAAGAGTGAAGAAAATGCTACTGCAAGTTCACTGTTTTCTGGAACCGCAGCACAGAGTGGCTCCCCAAAAGACATATCTGATAATGAAACTACCCAGTCAGGAACAAAAAAGAAGTCGAATTTAGGTTTGTAATTGTTTCATATTTACTAATTTAAATTGGTATATACTGAAACACAAATTCTTTCAAGTGATGAAATACTCAGATGAGCACTTCTGCAGGCTCGAGACAGTTTAGCTTTAAAAAGGTTTCAGCTTCATCACCTTGCTTCCTCCTCCAAATCTTTAAAGCTGTTGCAAGTGTTACTCTCAGCAGCTTTGTCCTGCCTGTGGAGAATCACTTTCTTCTGTGTAGCTCATGTCCCCAGTAAGACCCCACACATAAGTAAAATAGCTCATGCTTGTAATTTCCATCAGGAATGTCTCAGTCACTTCTGATTGTTGATTTTGTAGATTTTTGCACTTAAAATAAAAAAAGGTTGACGGGCTCTGAAGATGACTTAACTGCAGTGAAAATTTACAAGTGACTCCAGGGTAGATCGTTGCCCCATATTTTCGTTTGTAATCTGCGCTCAGGAGTGAAGTTTCTCGTCGTCAGATGGCCAGTGATGGTTGGTTAGAATTTGATAGATCATCAGGGAAATAAGTTTACGAGCCTGTTTGAGACAGGAGAAGGGAGGTTGGGTGGCTTCCTTTCTTTGTCACCTACGTCTTGTGCAGCAGACACTGTGTAAGCTACAGGGGCAGACCGACAACTCTTGCAAGGAGCTCTGGTGCTTTAATTAGCGTTAATACCTAACGTCACCAAAATGACATCAGTCTTCCCCGGTGTGCAGGAGCTGCGTGCTGCAGCAGGGCTTTGCACTGCTCCCTCTGCATAAAGGATGGGTTTGCTATTTCTGCTCATGTGTTTTTGTGAGGAGTGTCTGTCATGTAAGTTGTACCAAAGCACGTCTCAGTTCCACAAAGATTTAGCATTTCCTGTTAGTACTTGACTGCGGGTACGTCAGAAGCAAGGTGCTATAAGAAAATGTTTAGTGTGGTTTGAATTTCCTTTGAAAATAAGTGCTCTGTATCACTAACCCTCTTGATCGTCGCGCAGCATCCACGTTTGGAACCTGGTGAGGCTAAGGGGTGATAACTGGTAGATGCAGGGACAGAGGGAGCCAAAGTTCCCATCTGTGCCTTTTCTTCAGGTACAAAGCTTTGGATTGACTCTAAAGAACCTGGGCTTCCTGATGATCTGGAATCTATTGAAAAGGAAGAACTAAAAGAAGAGGACTATGTTTTATCCAAAAACCTGGAATCTGGGAGAGTAACCACCTTAGCTCAGCCTAGAGCAGCGTTGTGCAGGTATGGAGAGAGATGTCCTGTTCTGGAGTGTTTAATGGAACACTCCAGTTACATCAGCTCTGTTCTCCCAGTTACATCAGAATCTGCTTTCTGGTCAGCTAGGCTGATTTTATTATGTTTATATCGCTCTATAAGAATCCCAGCATATTTATTAGAAAGTAAATGTTAGTTACTTAAATAATCGTTCTGAAGAAGCAAATGCAGTGCAGATTTGTATATCAGAGCGGCTTATAAATTTGGTGTGCCCATCATGTTTATTTCTGGAGCATTCCTTCAATACATTTAAACCTAAATACAGAAATTCCTGTCTGGTCTGTTGACTCTGCATATTTGGTTTGAACTGGACAATGTGAGAAGGCGTTGCTGTCTCACTGCCAGATACAAAATATGTCAGGAATTGCGACCTGGCATGTGTAATGCCTTTTTTATTTTTTTTATTCCTCCCCTCCCTCTGCCCCCAATCAGTGAATTACCTGAGAGAGAAGAAGGAGAAGGAGAAGAAACTCCAAACTTCAGCCACTGGGGACCACCACGGATGTATGTTCATACGATGACATTATTTCTTCCCATTTACCTTAATTCTTTTTTTCTGTGAGCCCAATCAGTTCTCGTGGGATTTTTTCCTCCCTTCCTCTGCCAGTAACTTTAAGGCACTTGTGTACCTTGGGCTTTTGTCGATATATTGAATTTTTAACAGATGTTCAACAGAATTATGCCTTCTATTTATACAGCTGACTTGGGAAAGCTTGGTGGGTTTACGTTGTGGGTGACCTACAAGTTCTTGCTCATTTAATAACTATTAGGTGTGAACAATGCACATGGTGCTGCTGTCTCCTTTTCCACGGGTTCTCTACTAAACTTAGCGGCACAATCCCGAATTGCCAAGCCAAGTTTTAGCCACATCCTTGTTGTATTGTTAACATTTTTAGGTGAATTGTTTTTCTGATCCTGACTAAAATATGATCACAAAGTTTCTGCTCGAGGTGATTAATATGCATCTGACACACTGAAGTCAGTGTTCATAAAGTTGTATGAAACACTGTTTTGCTATTTGTCCAGCGTGCCACTTGCAGGGTTTGCCGTTTCCAGGCAGTTTGCTCAAACAGAAAGAGGATGAGTGTTTGCTTGAAGACCTTCTTGGTTTACCCTAAGTTGCTCTGAGATAAAAGCCTATGGCCAGTGGGCATGGCTTGGCAGCAGAATTTTGTTCTTTTTGTGGGGTGAGGTCTGCTCAGGCTAAAAAGCCAACTCTGCTGAGAGCATTCTTGGGCTTCTGTCTTTATCCTTTACCTCTATTAAATCTTCTCAAAAGACCAGAAGCTTACGTTTCTTTAAGACTTTGTATTTATAGTTTAAAAAAACCCAAAATACTTCAAGCTGTTAAACTACCACATGTATTTTTTCAGTGTTGAGATCTTCAGAGACCCTCATGTGTCTCTTGGAATCAGTATTGTTGGTGGACAGACTGTCATAAAGCGCCTGAAGAATGGAGAAGAGCTTAAAGGGATCTTTATCAAACAAGTTTTGGAAGACAGCCCAGCAGGAAGAACAAAGGCTTTAAAAACCGGAGATAAAATACTTGAGGTAAATGCAGATAAACCTACCTTTTCATTCTAAGAAACAGAGATTGACTCAGCCAGCACTGGGAGGAGCGAGGAACAAAATACTGCCATCACTTTGTGAAGTGTTAATGACGCTATGTTTTGAAAACCAAAAGAAACCCCTGATGGCACTTTTTCTTTTCTTTTCTTTTCTGTTTGTTTTTTTTTTTAAGTCTCACTGTGGAGCACTTTTAATATTCTTCTCTATATTTAAGAAAGGATAAGTCCTGGTAGTTAGTGTATCTGCTGTATAATAAGTTATAATAACAATGTTATAGCATACTTTTATGAACATAAGCTCTAATATATAGAAGAACACTGACTCTTCATACTGAAATTTGGGCTGCTCTGTGTGTGAATTAATGGTCTGATTAACTGTTATTTGGGGCAAAGCCCTGATTCTGGCAGTTACCATAGGGGAGAACATCATTCCTGGCTCTCATCTCTGGCTGTGTTTTGATTATTTATTTATTTTTATTTGCTTTTCTCCAGATGAATACTTTTGTCTCTGGGTTCCCAAGCTGATGGTGCTTTAGGATTGTGTGTGATATTGTGCAAAATTGTTTCCAAACAGGTTTAGTTTGCAAATAGGAAAAAGCAGGAAGAGTTCTATTATATCTGGCGTTATATCTAGCACTCTCTGACAATCTTATTCCTTAAGTTTTTATCTAGAAGAATTACTTTGGGAAACATATGGCCATCTTTTAATTAGGAAACTAAGTAGCATACTTTTCCTTAAACTGTCATAGAAAAATACTTCTCTTGAATGCTTTTGGTACCTTCCTCACATGCACTAATCTCGTGCAAATGTATGTGATCTCTCGCAATGACTTCAGGCCAAAGACAAGCTAACTAATAAAAATAAACATTGTTTGTTAGGTTTCTGGGATAGACCTACAAAATGCCACGCATGAGGAAGCAGTAGAAGCTATCAAGAGTGCAGGAAATCCCGTCGTGTTTGTAGTTCAGGGTTTGTCCAATGTACCGAAAGTAAGTTTATTTCTGGTTTTGTTCCAAAACTTAATAAATGTGCAATGTGGATCTTATTTTAAACTCGACTAAATTCCATTCAGCAAGTTCCATGAAGTTTTGTGTCCACCCTTTCTGTCAGAGTTGCTGCTTATAGAGCACATGATTGATTGATTGATTGATTACTTGTCGGGGGCCTGATTTGAAGTCTTGTTTCTCTGATGTAAATCAAGTCTGTATAAATCTGTTGACTAGGTGTTAATTCAGTTCTCCCATCTGTGTAATTGAGTCCGGCCCTGTGTATTTTAATTTATTCGTATTTCTAAATATATGTACTCTGTTATCCAAGTGAACAAAAGTGATATTAAAATTAGTCACGCTAGCAGCTCCGTGTAAAATGTGTCACCAAAGGGACCTGAAGGTAGTTATTTGGGAACAAGTTAATTTTCAAGAGATTTTAGGGGTCTCCTTCTCTTCAGGGCCAAGGCAAGAAGCCTTTTAATTCCTTGGTGTGTAATTCTGCCTGCCTTGAAGTACACACAAAACCCACAAGACTTCTATGTACTTGTAGCATAATCTGAGAAGTTAATTGGGATTTTGGCTGGATTAATAGACCTGAAGAGACCTTTTTGACAACTGTAGACAAATCCAGCACAACTGTGTTGGTTATCTTCCCAGTGCTCCAGGGAGTCTTGCAAAATCTATTAAGACTTTCACCAGCTGTACTGGGAACATGCTCAAGCACTGATGGCAAAAATTGCAGTGGTGGTAACTGAGTTGGCTCCATTTCTCTATGGGCTTTTTCCTGGAAAAGATCCCCAAAAAAACCTCTTAGAATTCCAATGTTCAGCTGCATCTCTGAACCATACTCTTCTAGTCAATCTAGAGAGATTAAGGGAAAGCCTGGTAACTTGAAATTTGAGTTGCTTTACTTTGAAGCTGGATGTTCATGGACATTCAGCAGTGCTGTGCAATCCCAACTCCCATTCCCCAAAATAAGGTGAAGCTGGAGGAGCAGGAATATATTACATTTTGTGACATAGTAGAAGAAAAGACTGAAAAGGGGCCCAGGAGTTCTTTTTACGTGTCCTGATCGTGTGACCCAACACAAGGCCCGTGGCTAACTCACGTTTTGAGTACTTCTTACTTTGAGCTTACACTGTGTGCTTGCCACCAGCTGTAATCAAAATGCCCTAAAAATTTCCCCTTGAAAGAGTAAAGAACAGAAAGAAGGAATATTATGTGGAGACTAAACATACTCTCATATGTAGTGTCTTGGAAACCAGGGCACTGGTCTCTATTTGAATAAATAAGTGCTTCAGGAGTCCGTCCTGGGCTCTGTATCGAGGATGTTTGTCCAGGTTGTTGACTTCAGAGTAATGTTTAATTGAACGAAGAGATGGGGCTGGATGTCAAACAGTGAGCGCTAGAAAAGTAGAGGATGTTTGTAAATTCAGTAAAAGAATGTGATTTTCAGACTGCACTGCAGTGCCCTTCTCTGTGGGGCAAAATGCGGAGTGCGCTGGGTGGCTTCCTTGTTGTCGTTATCTAAGTTTTGGATGTTTGTTTTGTGGCTATAATGCTCTTTCTAACGTGTGGCATATGCACATTTTTTTCAGGTGGTTTCAGCTGTACAGCCTAAGGGAATCAAAGTCAGCAAAGATCAGGATGCAGACAAAGAAAATAAGAGTGAAAAGGTAACTATTCCATTCAACGCTATACCTAAGTTTTACCAAATCAAATGGAATAATAGCCTGCATTATAACTCTGTGATAACCACCCATCAACCCTGAAATAAAATTTGAAGTGTTTTGTTGAAATATCTTAGATTCAAGTAATTTTTGCCAAATTTCTGCCAAACAGAAGGCGGCTTTCTGACAGATGTTCTGTGGGTTTCCCCTGGGTGCTGAAGAAATCCTGTGCTCACTGCAGCTCTTCACTGACATCTTTCTGGAAGTACCTGTTTTACTCCATGTGGAAGCAAATTGATTCTCTTTGTTCAGTAGAAACAGAGAAATAATTACGGGTACACAAACGATATGCTTAACGTGAGGCTGGCCGAAGTTCAGTAAAATCATGTTATACGATAATTAAATCTGCTAGTCTCCTGCATTTCCCATTGCTGTGTAGAACAAGGAAATGACCAAGTGGTCTGTAGCTGGGCACCTAATTGTGAAGCAATTACCGCGCAGTAACTTTCAAGCAACTTCACAGCAGATTTAAAAGAGGAAAAATCTGGTTCATCTGAACGAGTGGATTTGTTTTAATTGTTGCAATAAGGGAAAAAATGAATTTCTCCTTCCAGCCAGACTGCTCTAATGCCTAGGTAGTTTTCTGTTCGAAACTGATGAGTCTAGGCCGGGTGCTTTGAGAGTGTCGGAACTGGAGGAGCAGGGATAAAATTAATGCAGGGATAAAACTGCCTGGTGCAGTTTGACATACTAACTACAAATAGAGCAAGCTTTTTGTTTAATCCTACTCAGTAGTCTGGTGTGAGGTGGGCAACTGAGAAGGCCCTCTTGCCTCCAAAAATTTTTGTAATACTCCTTTCAGATCCTGTCAGATACAGAAGCTACAAGGCTCCGTTATTCAAATAAAGTCAAGAAAGGTGTTGAAGTGATGCTTTCATGCCAGTGGATAATACTGTATTGGGTTGGCTCAGCCGGATTT